ACGTTTTCTTCCGTTAAATACTGCCTTGTTTTTTTGGGCTGTGTGCGAGCTTGCATTGTCTTGGTGGAGGATGATTGTTGTTGGGGTTGAATCCGCAGTAACAGCTCTATGCTCATTAAGAGGAATTGTTGCAATATGACCCGCTTTTGACACAAGTGTCGCGACCATCTTTTTCGAAACACTTCGAGAACGGATGACTTTTGTTAGCTTTCTTCACCTTGGAACACCCAATCAGCCGACTGTCGTTTATTTTCTGGTTCATAACAGTAAATCCACGATTCATCACCACTAACAATGCTGTACACATTTCTTGAGTTTCCGGAATTGAAACGGTTAAGCGTTTTTTGACACCAATTAACCCTGGCTGCTTTCTGCTCTTCAGTCAACAGGTGGGGTATCCAACGAGAAACTAATTTTCTTACTCCTAATTCTTCATGTGAAATTTTTTGAATTGAGGTCTTTGAGATCTTCAAGGACGCCTCAATCTCGCGATATGTCACATGTTTATCTTCAATGATGAGTTTGCGCACAGCATTGACATTTTCCTGGGTGACTGCCGCTTTTGGTGCACTCACTCTGGGATCGTCGCTAAGACTCACCCGTCCAATTGAATTCTTCATACCAACGAGAAATTGTCGACTGATGTGGCTCTTCGTTGACAAAAACAGACAGTAACTCAGCAAGGCGTTCTTTTTGCGATAATTGTCTCTGAAAGTTGTAATAAATTATGGCGCGAAAATGTTCTCGGTTGAGTTCCATTTTTCTAATGACTTGGTGACACTTAAAAATTCACTGTAGTGAGAACACTATTGTATTGTTGTGAAACTTTGAATTTAAGTTTACTAAAGAGTGAGGTTAAGATTCAGTACTAACGTTCGATCCGCGCGGCCTACTATGTTTCTATATGCAAAACTTAAAAGACGTCCCTCGTACTCATTTGTCGCAATTATAAATAAATTGGAAAATTTTGTTTTATATTATAATGTGTTCATTTTTGCATTATAAATAATGCTGTCAGGAGAGCAATGTAATACCTGAAATTCATCCCGTGGTTTTAATGTTGATAATCCTAATGTTTTTTCTGCGTTAAACCACATATATAAAATTGACTGTTTGTTGACGTCTCGGCCAGAGAAACATGGCGAATTTTCGATGTTGGAATCTTGAGTGCAGCAGCCGTCTTATTAAATATTTGATCGAAGATCCCCATTTTATAACACCCCATTCAATTTCGCATCGCTGATATTGGTACCAATTAATTTGTTGTGTTGAACATTAAATCGTATTTTCCTTTTGTATGGAATGAAAATGACTTAAATTTTAATGGGTTTCCCTAATTTCTTGACGGAAAAATTTCAGTCAACCACGAGTGAAATTGGCTAAAATTACAAGCTTCCGTAGGAACAGTTAAAAACGCTTCGTATTACGTCTGTAGTTGATGGTTCCCAAAACTACTACTTGCCTATAGTTATACAATAATAGTAATTAATGGTTATTTCAAACCGTAGGCGTCTACCACTTTTATTACTTCTTATTAGGATGACGTATTTTTAAAAATAGACTCATCCATTTCGTATCTCTAGGTCCAGCGTATGTTTAGTCGTCTGAAAAGCACAATTAAGAGTAATTCACTGACGTTCAAATCGTCCCAGACAAGGTTTGCATATTGAATAGGAAGTAAAAGAGCGTAAATACGGAGCTTCTGGAGTATCTTGGACATCACTGCTTGATTAAGGACAGGCACCGTCTGTCCTAGGCTTTGCAGATGGGTGGCTGACTTTCCCTTTGGCCGCAAGATCTCTGCCATAATTGACGTGTTATCCTTTCCATTCCACAATGTCAACGCGGATGTTCCCAGGGATCGGTCTTCATTGTGTATATTACATATTAACGACATCATTTCTTGTACGACCAATCCGATCTATAGGTTTGCTAATGACAGTGTATGTAGCAATCTAGTGTCATGCCGGTTTCTGCGGGAGCGGGAGAAAAGAAGGCTATCAGCGGCTTCCTCTTTGACGAGAAATCTTATCACTGCGGCTTATCAGTACTATAGCTTAACTAATAACATAATAATAACCTTAGTGTTCATTCGGTTTCCAGGTTTGACCTAGGCTTGAGTACTGCTTACATTTTTGGGGTGCTCGATTCTGTTGAGAGGAGGGCTATCCGACTGATCGATGACGCTTCTCTAACAGACAGTCTCGGTACTCTTTCTCACCGACAGGCCGTCGGGGATCTGGCTATCTTCTAGCGTTATGTCAATGGGCTTTGCTTCTCAGAGCTCTCCCTTGCGATGTTACCGCACGATGAGCTTGCCTGGCAGACTCACCTGACTATGGCATCCCAACTGTGTCGAGCTTCGAACATCCAGAACTAGTCATTTGATTAAGCTCACGCCATTGATTATAGTTTTGCAGCGGTTCTCGTTAAACTCTACACTACTGCTTTCCTACAGAAATTACATCATATGGCTGGCATCCTGATTGGTAGCTGATTTTACGTTTAAAAAATTTGCCTATTTTGGCGCGTATACAAACTGTGCCGCAGAGATTTCAATTAATATGTTCTCGGTATTTTTGTACGCACGAAAGATTGAAGACATCAAAGTAAATGTGCAACATGTTGCGGTACATTTTACACGATATGCACCTTATATATATAGCACTAATTCCAGCTTTCGTGAGAGACGTTAAGATCCAAGAAACAATCATATTTCTAACATCGTCTGATATAATAGCGATAATTGATGTTTACTTCAAACTGCTCGCACACGTCTGTCATTTTCATTATTTCTCTAACGTAGTTCATACCTGATACCTGTTGCCAAATTCATGTTCATTCATTAAAACACGTCTGTAGTCGGATGTAAACATTAGCGTTAATTTGAATAAACCTGCGTAAGTTGCATCACGAGAAACATATGTTTACAATAAATTTAGTGACGGAGATGTTTATTCGATCGTGATCGATATTTCGCAATTAAAATTTGATTCATTTGGGAGTTGAACCTACACCTATATAAAAATAAACAAATTTGATATATACGGGAAAACCCAACATTTACACAATGTGATCAAAATTAACATGTATTATTAGTAATCCTGTACGCATCTGATACAATTAAAAATCAATTTGTCATACTTACAAAAACGTAGTAAATTAGAGAGTTTTGGCAATAACAAACACTGTATACGTAAACGTTAATGTTAACCTCATCTGTCCCATGACTTAATTGTCAAAATGGCGAGCGTTAACGATGCGTAGCAGTTTCTGGGATTACGGTTTTGGAAATCACAAATACTGCATACGTAAACATTAATAGAGTCAATGGTTTAGGTTAAAGTTTGCGTATGAGGTTTGTTATTGCCAAAATTTTCTAATATTTGTTTTTTTATAGTGAACATAGAAGTCATATATCTAATAATAATAATAATAATCCGGCTTTATTTATACAAAGTATAAAAAGGAGAAGTGATTTTCAACTTAACCCAAAAAGTCACGTGAAATTTTAACTTCAATGCCAAAGAGCTTTGTTTCCACGGCTACTGGCGCAAAAATTACATACTGTGTTTTTTGGATTGCATATGACATGTACATCAGGAAAAACCATGTCACTGATTTCCGTTGGTCTGTCGGACAGACGTCTATCTGTCGCTCTGCCTGACTATTTGTCGGTCTATCTGCCTGTTAATCCTAGCTCTATAGCTTGGAAAGTGCTGCTTGGGTTTGGATGTAACTTTTACAAAACGTTACTACTACGCTAAGGATGAAAAATCTTTGTAGTTATTTAAGATCTATCCGTTGGAGACAGATAAAAATACTGTAGGATATTAAATCACTGTTATAAAAAATATTAGCAGAAGATAGATCACTAAATAAAAAGAATTAATCGAGATAATTACGGTTGAAGATGTGGAACTGCATTAACTTATTATGTAAAATAATTATTATCCTAGTGTAAATGTGAATTTTCGCTTTAGCTTCTTTAAAAGTCTATCAGGCATTTCCTCTTCACATTACAAAAAAAATCCCTTCCAATACAAGTGTAGTTGTAATGGGTTTATCGAATAAACATCCATCACCTCTGAGCAACATACAGTTAAGGACAAGAAAAAATGAAATATTCCACACAATATAATTTAATTTCAGGGTCAATAATGGCAGCTTTCTGTCCGCTGATTGTAATGGGAAGATCCCAATAATTAAAACCATGTAGAAAAATATAGTAAGAAAAACCAGATATATTCTTTCCTATACTAGTCCAAACAAAATTCTACAAATTGGACGGTTTTTTGCAGAAAGGAACCAACCCAGAAAAACAATTATTGATCAATTAGGCTTTAAAGTTTTGACATTAATAACAAATTAATTTCAGACTAAAAATGATTTTAATTAATAGCACACTAGGCTTTAAATATGTGTATGGATCCTTTTTACAGTAAATGGTATTGCTCGTAATAGTTTATTTTCCTAAAATCTAGATTTTTCATATTCAGTGGGTTAGTTCCTTTCTGCAAAAAGCCGTGCAATTATGCTCTTAAGTCGATCTTGACACCTCTTAAAGTTTTATTGCGGACAAAATGAGAGAGAAGGAAAGAAACAGGTGTACAGCACGTAAGCGGCATCTGTCTTTGGATTTGGTTATCTAAGGCTTAAAACTATTCATTCCTCAATGGACAGGGCAACTGGTGGGAACATTTGGATGCTATCATTCACATAGGTGTATAACAGATAAAGATATGAACTAGTATTTCTAGATTTAATTTTAATGTACAGTTCATAACAACTTAAGTGATAGGAAATATGTGACTTCTTGAGGTATGGTTAAATATTTGTAGCTATACACACTTGAAAGTACTTGAAACTTGATCTACTCGTATTTAAGTATTTACTTCCAAATATCATGTTATCAGTTACTACATTTTTTCATTTGGCTAAATGTATCGACGCAATATTATCAACCTACTCATTACAAATTGTTTACAGTTTAAACTTTCCATGTTTTTTGGAATATCTCCAAAGATATTTAGGTATTATTTCCGATTTGGGAGTGTATAGTAATCACAAAGAACACCTTACCTCATATCTTAGAAAGGAAGTATCAGTGACGCCATTTAGATAATATTTTCTCGTCAAATACTTTGATTGAAATAAGGAATTAGTATTCATCTAGCAGTATTGACAGTTTTTCGATAATATCCAATCTAGGCAAGACTAGTAAGCTTAGAACTTACAGAATAGCTAAACTATAATGACAGGTTCTATAACACTTTCAAGATGGTATAAAGTCCTAAACACATCAAAATCTTATGCATAAAAGTGCTGCAAACCCATTCGAATGTTTTTCGATTGTCTTTTTCCACATACTAGCTCCTTATGATAGTTATTCTAAAAGTAATTGGTACAAGCAATAAAAGAATTGTGAGGTGATCCTATCCTAAAACCACGACGCGACGCGTGGAAATGTTCTTTTCACAAGTTTTTATTTAACCTGATTGACCTGTTAGTAGGTATGCAAGTTAGTGTAGGAGAAATCTTGAATTTTGAACCAGTTAAAATTAATCGAGTTGATAATTCACAATAAACTAAATGCCACCATTATGAATCCAATATGAGAAGCACATTATGATGGAAGTACAATAAGCAAAGTGACGCCGTTCTGAATCCAATATGATCTCCGCCACAAAATGGCAATATACAGGTATATAATTTCCATAGTCACTCCTATGATATGAGTATCAAATGGAAGGGCTTGAAGGGAGAACTGCAATATATGCGAAGAGTCTTTGTGAATCAAAAATGGCGACCGCCGCAAGATGTTGATTTATCATTTCCATAGTAACTTTATATGGACATCAAGGCGAAAGGCTTCGATGAGTGAATCACAAGTAAAGCAATGCCATTATAAATCCCATAAGATGCACGGATAATAAGACAGTGGACTATCATTATGACATGGGGTTGATCTGATGATGGAACATTAGGGTGGCATTGAGAACTTTGTAATAAAGTGACGCATACCCATCGAGTTGGGGTTCATTTGATTATTCTGGACAAGTACGCTAATAACGCTATATTGGAGGTAGGTACCAATAATAAATAGACGCGGATTTGGTCTCCCACATATCGAGCGTTAGGGCGCGGCACATAATGTCCTGCATACTTGTGCCAGACTTGACGTAATATAAACAAAACAGATGCATTCGATAATAATGCATCTAAAGCTTTTCTTTAGCTTAAATGGAAACAAGAAATATATTTTTTCCGATTGGAAATATGCCGTTTTACTCTCCATAAAGACGCTCCTTGAACTCTCGTTCCCAAATAAAAGTGTGTTACATCTTAACGGCAAGCGGGAAACAGGGTGTAACACGTCTTGTTTGAAAGCTTAAGACGGTGGAGCTTTATTACCGTTCTTAAACATTTTTTTCTTTTATGTATTTGCAGTTTACAGGAACCCACTAAAAGTAATCTCGCGAATCGTCATAGATACTTTATAGGCTGAAATACCAAACCACACAAATTGATTTTTCGACCTGTCGCGAAGTTAAGGTGAAGGCCGCCTATTTTCCCATTTGCGAAATCGATACATCTGCAGCTGAACAAAAATATCCTCGGATTCTCTGGCGTGTTGTTTGTCGTCAGCCATGCCGCGCTTGCCGCCGGTTTGACATTGGCCTTGCAACGCCACGCGCTACGCGGACATCCACTCTATAAAAGCTTGGCGTCGACGATGCTTCCGCCAGAATCTAAACTTGCCCGCAAAGTAACGGTTCAGATTGATCCCCGAGTGCTTCTTTCGCTAACTGCAAACATGTACACGAATCCGTTCAGTAGGACACACAGCAGTGTCAGACAGGTTATCGACCGCATCCTCAACTTTGACGTGAAGAAGAAGAACTCTGCATTGAAGAGAAACAGCTCCGACTGTTCGGTGTGCTCTGAGTCGTCATCGTGGAGTTCCAATTCAAAGAACGGTGTTAAAAAGCTTGCTAAGTTCATCAAATGAAGACCTAGTGTGTGCTCTATGGTGTCTCGCCCTTTTGATGTGGAATATGGATGTTCCCAAAGGTAGGTTTTGAAAAATCAAACTATGTTAGATGAACAAGTTATTTCATAAATTTCCAACGGATATGTTCTCATTTTTATTTACTTCATGTTGAGCTATTTTCTAATCGACCCCGATAAGGAAAATCTCGAAAAATTGTTTGGCTCTAATTTAAGTATCCCCTTATCAAATATTTTCTTACTCAGTAGAGACTCAAAGACCAAAAAAATATTTATCTATCTAGTAATATTCTTAGCTTGAACGTAATTTTATATCAGTGAAGAGAGTTTCTTTACATACAAAGTTTGGCAGTATCGCCCTTAAACCAGAACATTTTTTTCTAGTTACAGTCACATCTAATAGAGCTAAATAATCCAATTATTGATGCACCAAGGATGATATAGCACGATATAGATATCATTCGGTAAACTCCAAAATGTATCCAGTATTATCTTGGCCAAATAATGATTCTCAGAAGTACGACTGAACAAATGCTTTCTTATTCATTTCTATGAAATTCATACATTATTCTGTTATTCCTATGAGTCTAAATGTTTTCGTTCTTTACAGAATCCACCTGCACTGACGAGGTTGTAGAAAGAAAAACCTGCTTCCCCAGCATCTGTAAAAGATGTCTCTTCAGCATCAATAAAACCCGTCATGTTTTTGAAATGTTTGACGTAGTTCCAGCAGATGACAAGCGACATGAACGGCTTCAACATCCACTATAGAATGCTTTTTCTAGTCATATTATTTATTTATGTATTTATTTTAATTTAATTTCCAATAAAACAATAATAAATATGGCGTTTGACTTTTTGTCCGATTCTACCGAGAACCACAGCATTAATTTTTTCGTAAAAAAAGATTACTTAGCAGTGAATTGTTTGTGATAAACACAATAGTAATTCATGCATAGATTTGCTCAGTATATTCAGAGAACAATTGAAGACACAAGTGGATAAAGGTGTCTTGTAACATTTTTTCTTAAATTGCTTTTTTTCCATTACACTAACTTTAAGGAGTGATTATTTCATTCTGTGATTACTTTGTTGCAAAAACAAGGTAATAACAAACTAATCCAATTAAATATTTAAAATGTCAATAGAGTAAAAAATCCCAATAAAATGTTTAAAGTCAATTTCCTCCATTAAATGATTTTGTTACATGATGCTTTTCCACTCGTGTCTTCAATTCAGATCTGTGCACAAAATGTCAATAATACTGTATTAACGCATACAGCATGCGCGTCCAACCTAAAAAATCAACAATATACACGGATGCAACCGGCTTACAAACAGAAAACCTCAACTCCAACATCCCTGATCAAGGATGTTATCTATCTCTGTGTACCATCGCCATAAGAGGGTCAAGATCATGGCATGCGTGCGAGAAATGCAAAAAGTGATAGACGAATGCAAAACTAAAACGAAACTTTCATTCTTAGACTAAAAGTCAATGACTTGGTCTCAAAGCAGAAGCCATCATTGCGTGCAAAAGAAGGGAGGTTTTAGAATGAACAAGTATAAAACGAAGTGGCGATCCATTCATCCGTCAGAATTAAAAATTTTCCCAGAAGCAACGCTAAAGATCATTCCTCGAGTGTTTCATTTGCCATCTCTAAACATGTACACCAATCTGTTCAGTAGGCACACAGCAGTGCCAGGCAGTTCATCGACCGGGTGTCTAACTTTGACGGGAAGAACAGGAGCTCCTCTACATTGGAGAGATACAGTTCCGATAAAAATACTCTTGGACATTAAACCACTGTTAGAAAGAAACATTAACAGAAGATACCTTAAGAAAAATCACCGAATAAAAATAATTCATTTAGATAAATACGGTTGAAGATCTGGAACTGCATCAACTTACTATGTAAAACTATTACCCTAGTGGAAATATGAATTTTTTCTCCAGATTCCTCAAAAGACGTATGCATATTGTCTATCAGGCCTTTCCTCTCCACATTACAACAAAAAATCCTTTCCAATACAGAGTATAAGTAGTCGTAATGGGTTTATCGAATAAATATCCATCACCTCTGAGCAACATACAGTTAAGGACAAAAAAAAATGAAATAATCCACAGAATATAATTGAATTTCAGCGTCAATAGTGACAGATTTCTGTCCGCTGATTGTAATGGGAAGATCCCAATCATTAAAACCACATAGAAAAATATAGTAATAGAAAGCCAGATTTATTCTTTTCGATATTAGTCCAAACAGAATTCTACAAATTTTGCCGATCTTGACACCTCTTGAAGTTTTATTGAGGACAAAATGAGAGAAAAGAAAAAACAGGTATACAGCACGTAAGCGCATCTGTCATCGGATTTGGTTATCCAAGGCTTAGAACCATTCATTCGTCAATGGGCAGCGCCACTTGTGGGAACATTTGGATGCTATCATTCACATAGGTGTATAACAGATAAAAGGATGAAATAGTATTTCTAGATTTAATTTTATGTATAGTTCATAACAACTTTAACGAAAATAAATATGTCAGTTCTTGAGGTATGGGTAGGTATTTGTAGCTATACGCACTTGAAAGTACTTACAGCTTGATCTACTCGTAGTTAAGTATTCACTCCCAAATATCATGTTATCATTTACTACATTCTTTTCATTTGGCTCAATGTATCGTCGCAACATTATTAACCTACTCATTACAAATTGTTTATAGTTTTGGCTTTCCATGTTTTTTTGCAATATATCCAAAGATACTTAGGTATGGTATAATATCTAATCTAATCAAGACTAGTAAGCTTAGAACTTCAACATAGGCACTTTTACAGAATGGCTGAACTCTCACAGTTTCTAAAACACTTTCAAGATGGTATAAAGCCCAAAACACATCACAACTGGGATCTTATGCATAAAAGTGCTACAAACCCCTTCGAATGTTTCACGATTGTCTTTTTTCACTTACTAGCTCCTTATGAAAGTTATTCTTAAAGTAATTTGTAACAGCAATGAAGGGATTGTGAAGTGATCCTATCATAAAAACACGACGCGACGCTTTTAAATGTTGTTTCCACAAGCTTTTATTTAACCTGATTGACTTGTTAGTATATATATAATTTCCATAGTCACCTCTATGGTACAAGTATCAAATGGAACGGCTTGAAGAGAGACCGACAATATATGCAAAGTGCTGTCATTCTGAATCAAATATGCCGACCGCCACAAAATGTCGACTTATTATTTCCATAGTTACTTTAAATGGACATCAAAGGGAAATGCTTGATGAGTAAACCACAAGTAAAGCAAGGCCATTATAAATACCATAAGATGCACGGCTTATTACCTATTATGACATGGGGTTGATTCGATGATGGAGCATTAGGGTGACCTTGGGAACGTTGTAATGAAGTGACGCAAACCCATCGAGTTGGGATTCGTTTGATTCTTTCGGACAAGTACGCTAGTAACTTATAATTCGGTATATTGGAGGTACATGTAGGTACCAATAATAAATAAACGCAGATTTGGTCTCCCACATATCCCGCGTTAGGGCGCGGCACACAATGTCTTGCATACTTATGCCAGACTTGACGTAATATAAATAAAGTAGATGAATTCGATAATGCAACAAAAGCGTTTCATTAGCTTTACTGGAAACAAGAAATATATTTCTCCTTGGGCTCTAGTTTCTAAATAAACGTGTGTTACATCTTAGCGGCAAGCGCGAAACAGGGTGTAGCACGTTTTTGTTTGAATGTTTGAGACGGTGGAGGTTTATTACCGGTCTTAAACATTTTTTCTTTTATGTATTTGCAGTTTACATGAACCCACTGAAAGTAATCTCGCGACTCGTCATAGTTATAGACTGAAATATCAAACCACACAAATTGATTTTTCTGTCACCAAGTTAAGGTAAAGGCCGCCTATTTCCCCATTTGCGAAATCGATACATCTGGAGCTCAACAAAAATAATCTCGGAACCTCTGGCGTGTTGCTTGTCTTCAGCCGTCCCGCGCTTGCCACCGGTTTGACATTGGCCTTGCAGCGCCACGCGTTACGCGGACATCCACTCTATAAAAGCTTGGCGTCGACGATGCTTCCGTCAGAATCTAAACTTGCCCGCAAAGCAACGGTTTAGATTGATCCCCGAGTGCTTCTTTCGCTAACTGCAAACATGTACACGAATCCGTTCAGTAGGACACACAGCAGTGTCAGGCAGGTTATCGACCGCATCCTCAACTTTGACATTAAGAAGAAGAACTCTGCATTGAAGAGAAACAGCTCCGATTGTTCGGTGTGCTCTGAGTCGTCATCGTGGAGTTCCAGTTCAAAGAACGTTGCTAAAAAGCTTGCTAAGTTCGTCAAATGAAGATATAGTGTGTGCCCTATGGTGTCTCGCTCTTTTGAAGTGGAATATGGATGTTCCCAAAGGTAGGTTTTGAAAAATCAAACTATGTTAGATGAAAAAGCGATTTCATAAATTTCCAAAGGATATGTTCTCATTTTTATTTACTTCATGTTGAGCTATTTTCTAATCGACCCCGATAAGAAAAATTTCGTAAAGTTGTTTGGCCCTAATTTAAGTATCACCATATCAAATATTTTCTGGCTCAGTAGATACTCAAAGATCAAAAATATATTTATCTATCTAGTAATATTCTCAGCTTGAATGTAATTTTATATCAATGGATATAATTTCATTACATACAAAGTTTCAATTGCATCGCACTTAAACCAGAATATTTTTTTCTTTTTGCCGTCGCTTTTAGTAGAGCTGAATACTCCAATTATTGATGCATCAAGGATGATATGGCACGATAAAGATATCATTCAGTAAGCTCAAAATGTATCCAGTATTATCTTGATCAAATAACAATTCTCAGAAGTACGACCGAACAAATGCCTCATTTATATTCATTTCTATCCCATTCATACATTTTTTTTATTCCTCTGAATCTAAATGTTTTTGTTCTTTGCAGAATCCATCTGGGTTGACGAGGTTGTAGAAAGAAATACCTGCTTCTCCAACATCTATAGAAGATATCTGTCAGCATCAATAGAACCCGTCATGTTTTTTTTGAAACATTTGACGTACTTCCAGCAGATGACCAGGGATGTGAACGGCTTCAACATCCATTATAGAATGCTTTTTCTAGTCATATTATTTATTTATGTATTTATTTTAATTTAATTTCCAATAAAACAAAAATAATTATGGCGCTTGACTTTTTGACCGAAACTATCAAGAACCACATCATTCATTTTTTCAAATTGCCTTTTCACCTTAAGGAGTGATTCGTTCATTCTGTGGTTACTTTGCTGCAAAGATAAGATAAGAACAAACTAACTGAATTAACTATTTCAAATATCAATAAAATAAAAAGTCGCAATAAAATGTTAAAAGTCAATTTTCTCCATTATATGATTTTGTTACGTCTACAGTTCAGATCTATGCACAAAATGTCAATAACACTATATTAACGCCCACAGCATGCGCATCTAGCCTAAAAAATCAACAATTTACATGGATGCAACCGATTTACAAACAGAAAACCTCAACTCAAACATCCCTGACCAATAATGTCTCTCTGTGTACCATCGCCATAAGAAGGTCAAGATCATGGCATGCCTGCGAGAAATGCAAAAAGTGACGCAAACCAAAACAAAACTTTCATTCTTAGACTAAAAGTCAATGACTCAAAGCAGAAGACATCATTGCGTGCAAAAGAAGGGAGGGGTTAGGGTTAGAACGAACAAGTATAAAACGAAGTGGCGATCCATTCATCCGTCACTTTAAGGGGTGGTGGAGGGACCGCACAGGGTAGAAGGGTGTGTGTGTGTGTGTCATCCATCACAATTAAAGTTTTTCCCCGAGGCAACGCTAAAGGTCGTTCCTCGAGTATTTCATTTGCCATCTCTCAGCATGTACGCGAATCTGTTCAGTAGGACACACAGCAGTGTCAGCCAGTTCATCGACCGGGTGTTTAGCTTTGCCGGGAAGAAGAAGGGCTCGTCTGCATTGAAGAGACACAGTTGACAGTTCCGATAACTCAGTATGCTCAGATTTTGCATCATGGATCCCCGGTTCAAGTAATAGTACCAAACGACAAATAAGTGTATGCTTATGGTGTCTCGTTCATTTGACGTGAAATATGGATGAGCCAAAGGTAGGTTTTGAACATACATCAAATCAAGCTATGTAAGGTGGAACTGTTTTTTCGTGAAATAACCATTGAGTATGCTCTCAATTTTATTTATTTCATGTTGAGCTATTTACAAATCTACCTTGATACGAAATATGTTTCAAAGTTATTTGGCATTAAGTGTCTCGTTATCCAGATATTCTTCTCTTACTCAGTAGATAATCAAATTTCAACAACATATTTACCTATCTAGTAATATTCTTTACATTCAAAACTTGCCATGTCTCGCACTTAACCCAGAATACTTTTATTGTAGTTACTGCCACTTTAGTAGAGCTAATCACCCTAGTTATTGATATATCAAGGATGATACGGTATGATGAAGATATCATTCCGTAAACACCAAAATTTATCCTAGTATCATCTTGGCCGAACAATAATTCTCAAAGGTACGACTGAAAAATGTGTACTACTCATTCCCATCCCATTCATAGATTATTCTGTTATTCCTATGAGTATAAATATTTTTGTTCTATACAGAAGTCACCTAGACTGTCGAGATTGTATAAAGAAATACCTACTACTCCGATGTCTGTAGGAGATATCTGTCTCTTCAACATCAGTAAAGAAATGTGATACTGCCTGTCAAGTCAAGTTGCATTTGACGTAGTTCCAGCAGATGACAAGTGATATGAACGGCTTCAACATCCATTATAGAATGCTTTTTCCAGTCATATCATTTATGTATTTATCTTAATTTAGTTTTCAATAAAACAATAATAATTATGCTGTTTGACTTTCAATACGATTCTACCAAGAACCTCATGCATCAATACTGGTTGTCGAAAAAAAAAGACTACTTCATAGCGAATTGTTTGTAATAAATACGATAGGAATCCATGCTTAGCTAATTAAGAGAACAACCCGTATCTATGCACAAAATATCAATAACACTGTATTAACGCCCACAGCGTGTGCGTCCAGCCTAAAAAATCAACAATATGCATAGACCTGACCAAGAATGTTATCTATCTCTGTGTACCAACGGCATAAGAAGGTCAAGATCATGGTATGCATGCGAGAAATGCAAATAGCAATCGAAGAATGCAAACCAAAACGAAACTTTCGTTCTTACACTAGAAGTCAATGTCTTGGTCTCAACTCAGAAGCCATCATTGCGTTTAAAAGAAGAGGGGGGATAGAATGAACAAGCATAAAACGAAGTAGCGACCCATTCCCCGCTGCAATTTATTATTTCTCGCGAAGCAACGCTAAAGATTATTTCTCGAGTATTTCATTTTCCATCACTTAACATGTACACGAATCCGTTCAGTAGGACACATTCCAGTGTCAGGCAGCTTATCGACAGAATTCTCAGCTTTAATGGGAAGAAGAACTTCCCCTCATTAAAGAGACACTGTTCCAATTGCTCAGTGTGCTCAGACTCAACTTCTTGGAGCTTCAGTTCCAGAAATAGTGCTAAGAAGCTAGTCATGTTCGTTGAATGAATATCTAGTATGTGCTTCATGGTATTTTGACGTGTAATATGGATGTTGCCCAAGGTATGTCATGTAATATTTCTTGGAATATACACAAAATTCGTTCACGACTTAATTCATACAATAATTTCTTGATGAGGATGTTTCATATACTTTGTTGCGAAGATATCTTGTAAGTTGTTACTTAAAGCTCAATTAATATAAGTAACTTGTGTATACTTTAGTAGATGTCCATAATTTTGGATACAATTTTTTATTACTGCCACTTTAAGAATTGTTGATTTCATAATGAATTTACATGTATAATTTTTGATTGTCCAAGATTCATTTAAATAGTACGCGATTTGTGCCATTATGCCGCTTCGACTATTGACATATTATGGATAAAGCAACGCCATATCATTCTGTAAACTTCAAAATGTGTCATGGCGCTTTATCTAAATAAATCTCGAAAGTACTGATATAAGAATGTTTTTCTATACAGCTACTCTTAAAATTTCCTCATAAAACGCAAACATAATTATCATTTACTAAGTGACATATAAATCCGAACACCCAGTTTAAATGGTTTTATTTCAATAAAATTTTGTATAAGTACTTAATGAAGCATAATAAGTAAATGATAAAAATTTCAAAATGATTGCACTGCTTTAAAGCCCTTTGACCTTTAATAATGTGTGGATGCTCCCTGATGTGCTACGCATTCTCCAACGTGCCTAGGCATGCTTCTGATCAGGTGGTCAATGTCCTCCTGTGGTATCTCATTCCATGCAACCACCAACTCCTCTCGAAGTGCTTCTAGAGTCTGAGGAGGACGTTGCAAATTGAGCAATCTCCTACCCATCATATCCCACACGTGCTCAATTGGGGATAAGTCGGGAGATTTTGGTGGCCATGGTAACAATGTGACATCATTATGTTGAAAGAAGTCTATTGTGACTCTTGCAACATGTGGTCGGGCATTATCTTGTTGGAAAGTTGGATCTGCCAGGGTGTCAAGATAGGGTAAAAGATGGGGTTCTAGAACTTCGTGGATATAACGCTGCGCGTTCATGTTACCTCTGATGAAGATTAAAGGTGACCTGGAACCATAAGCTATAGCACCCCAAACCATAACTCCAACAGTGTGATGAACATGTCTTTCAACAAAAAACTGTGGATTCCTCCTTTCACCACGTCGCCTTCTAACCCTGGCACGACCATCGTGCATGCCTAAACAAAATCGAGACTCGTCACTAAAGACAATACTGTTCCATTCCTGATCCCAGAGTGACCGTTGTCTGCACCACTCAAGGCGATTACGTCGGTGTTCTCGAGTTAAAGGGAGGACCCAGTGTGGCCGGTATGAAAACAAGCCAAAACTTCTCATTCGTCGGTAAACACTACGCATGCCAATAGGTCTTCCGTGTTCTGCAAACCATTCATTTGCAATGGACCTGGTAGTGGAGAAACGGTCCCTCAAGGCCAATAATCTTATTCGGCGATCTTCACGGTCTATTGTTCTACGGCGGCGTCCAGTGCCCGTTGCTCTTTGCGTGCGGCCTTCTCGAAGCCATGCCTGACAACACCTAACCACAGTGTCTACACTTCCTTGCACTCTAACTGGAATTTCCCAAAAAGAAAGTCCAGCTTCCCGAAGTCCCACTATACGGCCCCTATCAAACTCACTAAGTTGACGAAATCGTACAGGTCTCCGTACTCTAGGCATCGTAACCGATCGTAAAGGATGTCAAGAACCAAAATCCGCCAACCTTGATTCTTTACTGCGGCTGAAATATTCATTTTTAGAGCGTTAGTGAATTAAAAAAAAGCAGTATAAAAACCGGAATGTCCAACTGATAAGGCTGAAAATTTTTTCACTTGTTATTTACAGTAAGAGAAATACATTCACCAACTTTTATTAAAATAAAACCATTTAAACTGGGTGTTCGGATTTATATGTCACTTAGTATATAATATCCTATTGTACCTGTGATTCTAAATGTTTCCTCCTTTACAGAATTCACCTGGACTGTCGAGGATGTAGAGAGAGATATCTGCTTTTCAAACATCTATAAATGTAAATGGTGCCTGTATTTTCAGCATCTACGGGAAGAAAGTATGCTGCCCGAACTGTCGTAGAATTACAGAATGGTTTACTAGTCATATTATTTGTTTTGGTACCTATTTACAGGGTGGCCCATAAGTCCTTTGAGCTGGAAAAAAAGGAATAAAACCAAACTAGTTACATTATGAAGAATTATTATATTTTGTTATCGTCTTTATTGAATGGGAATTATGTTTTAAAAATCACATCGTCTAAATGCAATCCATTACGATCATGGCACTCATATAAACGACGTCTAAAATTGTCGATGACTGCGCGGCAAGTCAACACTGTAATGCTTGCCATTTCTCTTCGGATATTTTCTTTCAGGACATCAACTGATCGCGGAGTGGTGTCGTACACTTTACTCTTGAGGTAGCCCCATAAAAAGAAGTCCATTGGGGTCAAATCTGGACTACGTGGTGGCCAGGAAATGTCTCCTCTTCGAGAAATTACTTTGCTGGGAAAAAGTTGACAGACGACGGGCATAGAAGTGTTGGAGGTGTGGGCAGTTGCTCCGTCCTGTTGAAACCAGGTCTGCGTATTATAGCCTGGAAAATTCTGCAACGCTGGTGTCAAAAACTCTTCTATCATTCCTACATACCGCTCCGAAGTAACAGTTAATGCGCGACCTCTGTCGTCCTCAAAAAAATAAGGGCCTACGATGCCATGCGTTGACATAGCAGACCAAACTGTAACTTTAGGGCTGTGTAAGGGCTTCTGATGCTTACGTCTTGGATTTTCGGGGCTCCAATAACGGCAATTTTGTTTATTTACATGCCCGTTTAAATGGAAGTGAGCCTCGCCCGAGAACAACACATTATTGAGCGAAGAAAATCGATTCAACATTTCATTCGCAAAGTTTAGTCTCTGAATAGCGTCATTATCTTTTAATTCCTGCACTAACTGAATTTTGTAAGCGTGCAGACGTAAATCTTTCCTTAAAATCCGCTGTAAAGATGTTCTGGGTACGTTTAGTGCACGGGAACGCTTACCAGTAGACTGGGTAGGATTTTGACGAACAGACTGTGCCACAATGTTGATGTTTTCTTCAATACGAGTTGTCCTTGGTCGACCCCACCGCTGTTTATCTAACGTCGAACGAGTCTCTTCGAACTTAGCAACCCAGTTCTTAATCGTTTGAGCTGTTGGACACTTTGTAAAATTGTGTAAATTGTGGTATTCTCGATATTTACGCCGCGCAATGGTTGCCGAATCATTATTTTGATAAAACGCGCGCACACAAAAAGCACGATCCGCTCCAGTGAAACACTCCATGGCGACTGAATTCCCAGACACTGAAGATACTGCCCCCACCTCGCCCGCGCCGCTCACGTTCACCCGTTAAATTTTATTCAAATTTGAAATTTCAAAGGACTTATGGACCACCCTGTATTTTTGTAATTTTCAATAAAACAGGAGGCTATAGCGCTCGACTCCTAATTCAGCTTTACACAGAACAATAGTTGGCAACCAAACCGTGAATTCATAAAGCTTCTTTTACTTTATTAAGAAACTGAGCCACAGTTATAAGCCGCTATTAAAAAAAACAAATGTCAGTAAAAGCGACCTTGGCATGCATACCTTCAGACTAAAAAACTAAGGAAAATAGATGGAACCGTTCTACACATAAAACGTCTTCACAAGCAGGTAACGCTTTCCTGTCTAAGAATGCTATCTTCCTCTCTGTATCATAGCTATAATGCAAAATCGGCGAACGCAAAGCAAAACAAAACTTTCGTCCTTGCACTAGAAGTCAATGTCTTGGTTTCGACGTACTTAAGCCCTGAAACCAACATTGTACCGAAAATAAGAAGGGGTAGACGGACAAGTATAAAACGTATTGCCCATGCACTCTTCTATCCGAACCTAAACTTTCTCACGCTAACGTTAAGATCGTTTATCGAGTGCTTCATTCGCAAACTGCAAATATGTACACAAATCCATTTAGTAGGATACACAGCAGTCTCAGGCAGGTCGTCGACCAATTCATCAACTTTGATGGGAAGAAAAAGTGTTCATCTGCATTGAAGAGAAACTGCTCCGATTGCTCCGTGTATTCAGATTTATGGAGCTCTACTTCCAGAAATAGTGCGGACCAAGTTTATGCTTTATGGTACTTCAATCTTTGACGTGGAATATCGATATTCTCAAAGGTTCCCAAAGGTATTTTTAGAAAAAGGATATATCCATCCTCATATT